GGCCCGGCCTGGACGCGGTGGTCAGCGCTGCCACCTCCGGGAGCCACCCGGGCCGCCCGCCCGCTGCGTCGCGCGGCCGCCGATTTAAATAACTAATCAGCCGCGAGCAATCCTAGGAGGGGGGACTTTTCCTTTTAGTATCAATAAAGCCTAGTAATTGGATTTGTTGGTTACCTAGGCTAGAGCACTTTCTCCCCTCCTCCCTCTGTCTCTCTCTCCCCGTCTGTCTCGGTGTCTCTGTCTCTCTGTCCGTCTGTCTCTCTCTCTCTCTCTCACCCTCTCACCCCTCTGTCTCTCTCTCTGAAGCGTTTTCAAAACTGGCAAGTGTGTGTGCGTTTGTGTGGGGAGTGTGAGTGTTGTTTGTTTCAAAAGTCTTCGCCTGAAGAACAGTCATTGTCGCTCCACAAGTGAAGAGTTTTGAAAAGTGAACTGTTGTTATTTAAGAGGAGAAAATGTTGACGCTGTCTTCTCGGAGAGAGAAGTGTAGTGTAAGAGGCAGACTAAAGATTTTGCCACTGGCTATGCTAGAAAGAAGTCCGCAGTGTTTCCTTGATAGTTTTCATTTTAATGTAACCTTCTCTGCATTCTGACTCACGGAGCATAGTGATATGTGTTGTTTTCAGTAAAAGCTTCTACACTGTGATACGTTCTAAATTTTTATTTTTGTTTTCTAATCTTTTTTCAAAGCATGTTTGATAGGGAAGAATTTTTCCACCTGGGAACCAAGCCCCAATTTAAACATAAAAAAGACCTTTCGTGAACAATCACTGCAAACAGCCCACTCATTAGGGTTTGCGGAGTCGCTGCGAAAATCTCTGAAATCTAAAAGCAATCTAAGTGTGTTCTTGTCCAACCGTAGTCCTGTGTGTGTGTTTTCGTTTTTGTTGTGTGGAAGAGAACTATACCCTTAAGAGGACTTGGAAAAGTGCGGTATTGCAATGTACCTGAAGTTAAATTCCCCACCAAATGCAACGGAACTAGTGCTTCGGAATGTCAGCCTAACGAAGTGAAAAGTATTTCTGAATCCCATGACCGTTGGGATCAGATGCTCGTCAGTGAAAAGAAACGGGAATTCAATTTTTCGAGGAAGAGGAGGAAAACACTGCCTTCTGCAGTTACCAGGAACACACCAAGCCTGAGCTGTCCCGGCGCTCCCCGGTCATGCCCCGGAGGAAAGGTCCTGCTCCCTGCTCCTGGGAAACCCACGCCCTTCCCTTAGTTCGCGTTTGCTTTGGGCCGTGAGACCCAGGTTCTCCTGTGAGCTTCCACTGCCAGGTGACTTCCCCGGCAGAGCTACTCGGAGACAGCCAGGCCTCTGCAGGTCAAGGGAGAAAAGGCTCCTCCGGCCCCTCCCAGCCAGCCTCCTCCTGCTGGTCTAGACCCAGCCACCACCTCTGAAGACCTGGCTGCCGCCGCTGGGCGCTGGCTGGGGCTGCGGGTCTGGAGCCGGGGCATACCTCCCCATTTCAAGGGTTAGTTCCAGGCAGCTTCCCTTCCCGCCCACCCGCTGGCTCAGCAGCCTCCCTCCCTGACCACTGGGGGAGACGGGCCTGTGCTGCGGGGGCTCTGGGCCGCTGCCTGTCCCCCACGCTGGCTGTGCGAAGAAGCCGTATTTTTCTTCCTCCGCCGCCGCCGCCGCCGCCGCCTTTCCAGTGTCCAGGAAGCAGCACAGAGGATGGAAGGAGTGAGAGAAGGAAGTGGAGCCCTAGCAGGCAGCTCAGCCTCCCTAACCTACCAGGCTGTCATACTCCCACCTCAGCGCGGTCCGCGGCCTGGGCCAGGGGACCCAGGTCACCCACACCGCCACCCTGCAGCCCAGGTTTGGTTTCAACTCGGCCAGGGTCTGAGAACAGGACCCAGAATCCTGGTTTCCTTCTTTAAGGTCCTTGCCTCATTTTCCGTTTCTTCCCTTTTTCTAAGATCGCCCCTGGCGAAGCTTCTGCCGAGCCTGCTCCTCAGTCTCCCAGCCCTATGTGCAGGAGTACGACGTGGTCTGTCTGTTTACAGCGGCTTTAATCAGGACAGCGACGTGCGCTGAGCTCTTTGGCCCCAGAGGACGCACTTTGATCGGGGAAAGTCAAACAGAACCACATCTCACACTCACTCAAGTGTGGGTCTGCCCACTGCCCACACTGGCACAGCCGCTGTGGTCCTGCCCTGGCCTTTCCGCCCAGGCAGATTCACTTCAGCACAGGGACGCCAGTCAGGTCTTCCGCTGGTGGATAGCCACGGCCTTGCGGGTGAGGATGCAGCGCTGGACCCTCTGGGGATGCCCCCCAGAACCCTGGCGCTGGGCTTGGGGGCTCCAACCTTAGGCCTTCTCCCTCCTACCCTTTCAGCTGCATCGAGAAGGGAGGTCACAATCCTACTGTTCCCTGGTGGTCAACCCCAGCCTCCCCTCCTCCCTCGGGTGTCCAGCTACAGCCCTGAGGCATTTTTCTAAATTGTCGTGGTTGAAAATCTCAGAAACTGGACTGCAAACCCAGGGGCGGCTAGCAGGCTCTGCCTTCATTCACTCCTGGGCAGGGAGCGCGCAGGCAGCTGTTCCCTCGATCCTGGACTGTCCGTCCCTGAGCTCCTGGGCATGGGGATGTCCCTACCATCACCTTCCTGGCCCTTGGAGCAGAAAGAGAACGCGGCGAGCCAAGGGCTCTGGGTGGCCCCTCCAGCAGTCCTTGGACCAGGGTGGGGATGGAGACCCAGGAGCAGCCTGCTCCTCGGGCTTCTGAGCTGCATACCGGGATGGAGCGGCCTCCTCTGAAGCTGCGCTCGCTCCGTCTCCACCCTGAGCACCCCCAACCACTCTGTCCCACCTCTCGCTGTGATCCCTGCCTGTGAAACCACAGACCTGCCACCAGCTCCCTCCCTCACCTAGGTTGCTAGGTCCTCAATAGGTTTGGAACCAAAAGGCCCCAGCCCCAGGACTGCCGCTGCAGGGAGGTCTTTCTGTGTCCTGGAAGCTGTCGCTGACAATTTTGCAGTCCCTGGGACCTGGCGGGGTTGGTTCAGGATAGCCCAGTGACCCCAGCCAGGGCACTGGGACAAGGCATCCTCCTGCCAGCAGGTAGGAGGCCCTGAGGGGAAGTCAGCTCCTCCTTTCCCTCGCTCCCCTTCTTAAACGCCCACCCTCTCTCCCTGGGAGCCCCCAACCCTGGTCCCACAGTGGCCCCGTGCCCCGCCCCATGCTAAGCTGCCGGGGCTCACGGAAGGCCCGAGGTTCAGTAAACCGCCGGCTCCAGGCACCTCCGGCAGGCAGCATAAAACTGGGGAGCAGTCCCGCACCACGGAGGGGACCTTGTCCACATCAGCAGCGAGAAACACCATGGCCTTCGTTCCTTTCCTCCGGGGCCTGGGCTGCCGCTGCCCACCCTCCACCAATAACCCCACCGGCCTGCTCGGCCATCTCTGCACTTTGTCATCGCCCCTGCGTATTTGACATTCGCAATTATCTACAAATACCCTGATCGGTTTGTATATGAAACACTTTTTTTCTTGCCTTAAGGTTGGAATCTGGTAAGTTTCAGACAAGTGGTTGGGGGCGGAGGGGACGCAGGGGACCAGGGAGACCAGGCCAGTGAACTCAGTTTGGCGAGGTGGGCGGCAGGAAGGGATGGGTGTGTGCCCTGTGCCCAGCCCCTGGCACTGCCCCAAGGAAAGGAACCACGAGGCCATGCGGGATGGGCCCCAGGTGGCCCTCAGGTCCATTCCAGGCCCCCGGGAAGGAACTCTCAAAGCCTGATCCTCCCCAGGCACTTCCCAGAGTTCAAGTCTCCTCCCCACAAAGGGCGCCAGCCCCGGTCTTCAGCCCAGCCCTCAACCCACCCTGCCGGTCAGCTGGGTCACCTGCTCAGAAGCCTCCCAGCGTGGGGCCCAGCCCTTCCTGCCCCTGTGGGAAGCCTTTCGAGTTGGCCCTGCTCCTCCCTGCCCAGTCCTGAGTCCTAGTCCTGAGTCCTGCAGAGCCGGGTGGGGCTCGCCTGTCCCTAGTAGACACCTGCAGAGAGAAGGCAGAGGGCAGGGTTGCTGTGGGTCGGCCAGAGCTCAGTGAGAGCCTGAGGCTGCTGCTTCCTGGCCTGGGGGCACAGGGGCGAGGGGCGCCGGGCAGAAGGGCTCCGGCCCAGGAGCCGGAGCCCCCCTTGTCGGCCAGCCTCACCAGCCTGTGCCCCGCCTGCACCCCAGGATCACTTCCAGGGTCACTTTCTGCACCAGAGAAAGAGGGTGGGCCAAGGTGTGCATTGGGGTGAGGGAGGGCTTTGCGACCTCCAGGCGGACAGTCTGTCATCACAGCTCAGTGCTACCTCCCGGGTTCTGAAAGGAAGGTGACCCCTCCCTCCTGTCCCCTGAGGCCACCGTACTGGGAGGTCTCAGCTCTCCAGGAGGCCATAAAGTGCAGTGGCCTGAGGAGGCTGTCACAGTGTCTGCAGGCAGCCAGGTCACAGCCCAGCCTGGGTCACAGCTCAGCCTGGGCTCCACAGAGGAGCTGCGAAGTGGGGTAACTCCCTCAGGCCCGCCTTGGAGCTGGGTTAAGCTGGGGCCTCTCCAGGAGGTCCAGATGCAGAGCCCAGGCAGGCAGGTGTGCTTGTGCAGGGTGGCATGGACTCTGGGCACAGAAGCCCCTGGGCCTGAGGGGCAGTGGGCAAGGGGCTCTGGGGGTTCACCCCGTATTCCCTACCACTTTCCCTGCCCACCCTTCCATAGGCGTGCGGCTCTGTATTCCAACAGCTTCTTCCACAGAAAATGCCCTGAGGGCTGGGTTGCATGTTTCGGGGGTGATGCTCCTCAGTATTCTGCTCTCTGCTGGCCCATCTGGCTATGGGTGTCAGGGTCAGGCCTGCTGTCCACACTCTGTGCAAACCACCCTGCCGTGAAGCCTGGCACCTTGAAGCCAGCTGGGCACCGCCTGCGTCCCTGAGGAGGGTCAGGTCCCAGCCAGCAGGGCACACTTCCAAGTCAGGTCTCCCAGAGCCACTGGAGTTGGGGTCAGCGGTGTGGACAGAACGGGGACCCTCAGCGCCTAGCCCGCCTCCCTCTGCTGGCGGTGAAGCCATACCTTGAACCCCAGCGGCGCAGACCTGCACCCCTGCCAGCGGGCCCTTGGTTTAGGCAGCTGAGTGTCTGTGCGGGCCTCTGCTGCTTGCTGCTGGGCTCCAGGCCCGCTGGGTGCAGCCTCGGACAGCCCTGAGGCCAGGTCCACCTAGCCAGCAGGCTGCGGGCCCTCACCTGGCCTCTGTTTCCTCAGCCCAAGGCGGAGCCTGGACACCGGCCAGCTGTTCCAAACGAACCAAAGGACGGTGGAGGAAGTTTGCAGGTAAGAGGCCACCTCCTTTGCCCATATTTACACACAGAGAAACACACACGCACGCACACACACACGTGCACGGTGTGATCAAAAATACGGTGAATGTTTACGTTTTCAAAGTCAATAAATAACAGACACTCTGCCACGAATCCCCTTGGGGTCGCCCCTGCTTCGAATGCGCTCTGCCCTCTTCTCACCACTTCCCGCGGCAGCCCTGGAGTCCCTGTCTTCAGCTGCACTGTCCTGGCTGCCTCATATCCTGAGGTAATTCAACACGTGTCCCTGGCAGGGTCATTCTGACTTTGGGGAGGTCACTTGCCGAGCTGGCGCGCTGAGGAAGGTGGGTGAGGCCACACTCTGATGTTTTCAGAAGCTGCCTTTCTGTTGGATGGTCGGGGATGGGTCGCCGTTTCTTCTATCACAAGACGAGGGTGAGGGTATCCAACTCGGCGAGGCTTCTGCGGGGGACTCATGCTGATGGTCTGTACTGTATAAAGTTTTAAAAGGTAAACACCATGTGATCACCCCGTATAACGCCCGCATGTGCGGACCTATGCGGTTGAAACTTCTTAGTCTCACACACTTCGAGACTGAGTTTGAATATTGTCGGTTGGACCTTCCTGTGCCGCAGTTCTGGGTGGCCTGACTCAGCTGACCGGCCTGCCAGCAGCAGGGCTAACAGAGATCCCCTCTGCTCCTGAGCCCTTGGGCTCCAGGGGAGGCTGGAAGCTCTCAGTTCAAGCTGTGTTTAACATTTAAAGAACACTTGTCCTGGGTCAAGGACGAGTGCGGCGGCAGCTAGACTGTGAACCCACAGCCCAAGTGTCAGGGGGGGCACTGCGTGGTCAAGACCCCCGGGGGGACCCACCCTCTCCTGAGACCCAGGTCTCTCTCCCAGGACCCCATAACCGAAGAGTCTCCTGACCCAGAGAGAACCCTAAGAGAAACGACTTTCAGATGTGGAGGGAAGGAAGCCTCCTAGCTGAGGCTGGGACCCCAGCCATCCAGGTGCCAGGCCCACAGGCAGGTGAGGACCCCACCCAGCACCGGCGGCCGGAACTTGCTCTTCTGCCCCTCATCCCCTACATTTTACTACAAGGCGGCTGCTCTACAGGGCTACAGAGCACAGTGACCCTTGTGGATCTGCCGTCGTTCCACAGACCTTCGGGCTCTTGGGAAGCATACTCCTTTAGAGCTACTTTATTTAATACTAACATCAGTGCTAACAGTGTTATCATTGTAATAACACCAAAACCTGGGAAATGTTTAAGAGTGTAATATTTGGTTCAAAGGGTTGCTGAATTCTACAAGTGAGTTACTTATAATATTGAAATATTTGGGGGAATGACCCAGTAGAGATGCTTGCATTATTCCAATTTAAGAGTATTTATTTCAATTTAAGAATACTTTACATATGTAAATATATGACTGAATAAAACAGAACAGAGAAGATGAGATTGTCAGTATCATAAAGGTATTCTCCCTAAGTGTATGATCTTTTTCCCCAAATGTCAGATCAAACTTAGTGCTTAAATGTTATTTATTTTTAATTAATTCTTAATTTTTAATTACATCCAAGGACCAAAATATATATATTTCTAAAACCAGAGTTGAAAAAATAAAATCTAATTTCTAAAACATTGGTTGAGCATTAATAGAGTCTATTTTGAATGAAACATCATAGAATAAGCTCTCAGAACATTACAAACTCTCTTATAATAAACCCCATGGGTAAAATAGAAATACTCTGTCCTTCCTGTGATTGCGTTCTTTTTTAATAAAGTCAAACAGGAGTTATTACTTGCAGCACCACCCCTCCTCTTCTCTGAATTCCTGTCACACAGGCAAAGAGCCACGTTATCCCAGGGCAGTGTCTCGGGCTTTTTCTGCAGCTGATGTCAGATACTCAGCAGTGCAGCTGTGATGTCATTGAAATGGGTATCAGGCAGTATACCAATTGATTTATTGATTTCCCTTCTCCAAAGTCCTCGGGGAGTTACGGAGATGAAGAAGGAAAGGCCTGGGTTGGCTGAGATGAGCAATACTGATTCTATCACCCACGCAGAAATGACATTCGGCTGATCCGACTGACGGCACGGCGCGGCTCACGGATGCTCGCAAAGGGACGGCACTGAGCTCCCTCAGCTGATGGGCTGCGTTCCACCCGCCCAGGCAGTGTGTTATTTGGCCTTGAGGTTTCTACCTTGACCTTCGCAGAAAACACCAAGCTTTCAGCTGCCTTGCAGTGATGGGAGCAGGAGGTAAAGAGGCGGCCAAAGGGAAGAAGTGGCACACACAGCCTTGCTGTCCTACACACAGGCTGGAACCATCAGCTTCAGAGCCCGGGGAATACAGGGCCATAGCTGGATGCCACCTCAGAGGGCTCCTGAGACCCAGGCTGCTTCCCACCCACCCCGGGCTCTGAGAGCCTCCACCCTGGGGTGGTTCGGTGGTTCTTGGCAGGCGCAGGCAATCCCAGCTGCTTCGCTGATGTCTTTGGGTTTTAGGAGATTTCAAAGCAGGGCTCGATCAGCCTCAATCACCTAACCGGTTTGGAGGAGAAAGACTTGTAATCCAGTCCTATTCAAAGTGCCGGTAAACCACCAGGGGACTTGCCTATTGTCACATCTGCCTGCGAATTACCACACGCGGCGGTCTCTACAGCAGAGCTGTGAAAGCCACATAAACATAGACCCGCCTGACTTCCTCCCCACGCTAGGGACCCGTGCCGCCTTCTGAGCAGCCAGTGTTACAGCTTGGTTTGTCTTACTCCCCTTTCCCAGAGGAGAGGGGACCACTTCGAATTCTGCGTTTTCTCTCCCCTCATCTCAACCTCCAGCTCAGCCCCACTCTAGGAAGTTCCGCGCCCAGGCCGTCGCCTTCTGGTGCTCTGTGGGAGCGCTGCAGCCCGGGAGTGCGGTGGAGAGTGTTCCCTCTCCCCAGCCCCCTCTGTCCTGGCCCCCTCTTGTGGTGGATTCCAGGTGCTCAGCTTCTGCTGCCAGGTCTCCTCTTCCCTCCCTCTCTGCACTGGGCGCGGGAAGCTGCTGTCGACAGGAGGGGCTGAGACCTTCACGTGCAGAGGTCTCTAGTGTGCGCCTGGCCGGCTGCAGAAAAGGGCTCTGCTGGAAGATAAACCTGCTTACGCAGGAGTGCGCACCCTCCTGCAGTGGCTACTAAGGACTACTAGAGTTTCTGTGAAGAGGGGAAGTGAGGCACTATGCACCCAGGCTTGAAGCTTAGACGTGCTGTCCGGTCTGTCTCTGTGGTCACTCGCCGTGTGGACTTGGAGAGGTCCACATGCGCCCTGAGCATCAACTCCCCATCTTCAAATGGGCACGGTACAGGGGTGCTTGGAGGCCCCTGGAATGATTAAACTCAGCGTATTCACTGCATTCTCTGGGTGTGGCCATTGCCTCTCCAGTTTCTCTCTCTGTATTCATTCTGCAAATTTCTGAATGTGAAAAGGAGTTGAATATTGGTTCCCATTGTTCTTTAGAACCATTTTCTTTTAGGCAAAGTAAAAGCAACTCTGAGAACTTCAGCAACGCCAGTGAGCAGCTCCCTCCCTGACACCTGAGGAGGCAGTGTCACCCGCCCCAGGCCAGGGACCCTCACACAGGCCTGGGACATCGTCATGTTGGAGAGCAGAGGGGCCTGGGTCCTTCCTGCAGGGACAGCCCTGTCATTGCAGGAGGGAGCAGCCCTTGGCTGCCCTGGAAACATCTCGGAGCTCCTGGAGGTCTGCACAGGGCCAGCACTGTCGCTGTACAGTGCTGACAAAGTAGACTACTGTCTCCTCGCTGACAGGGTCAGGGTTCTGAAAGGCCAGGCTGCCTGGCGGGGCCGGGCAGGATCCCTACCACCATGGCCTTCGCCCTCCCGGGGCCTCTTGTCTCTCTCCTAGGCTCCTGGCTCCTGGGCCCACGCGGCCTTAGACTCAGAGGCAGGAGGTGCTGAGGGACAGCAGGAGGAAGACTCTGTCCCTGCTCCTCAGGGCCTGGTCCTCGTGGGCCTGGCCTGGCTGTGCATGTCAGTTTGCGTTGCTGAGACAGTGAGGCTGCGTAACCCTGGGGCAGAGCTGGCTCCTGCGCCAGCTCGAATCGATTGCTCGCTGCTGGTCAGCGCTCTCTCGTGCTGGGCTGAGAGGCTGTGTCCCAGGGCTCAGGCTCTCGGGCAGCTGGGCCATGGGAAGCCGAGGTGGACCCAGGGAGCGGGCACCAGCCTTCCTGCTCTTCCCATCTTGCCTGCAGAACGGCCGTTGGTGGCATTGCTCCCCTGGAGGTGTGGGGTCCTGGGCAGGAGAAAGGGCATCAGAGGGAAGGGGCAGACAGCGGCCTCTCCAGCTGCTCACATCAGGAGGCCCTGGATGTAGCTCAGAGAGACAGCTGGACTAAGCACATCTGACTAGCTAGTGGTTCGCAAGGCAAGCTCTGGACCACCAAGCTACATCATCAGACCTTTATATTCTTTTAAATTTTGAGATAGAGTCTCACTAAATTGCCCAGGCTGGCTTTGAACCCCCTATCCTCCTGCCTCAGCCTCCAGAGTAGCTGAAATTATAGACAAGCATCACCAAATCCAACGATGTCAGCTATATCTTCTTTCCTGAGCCCAGCCTGGGCTACACGGTGAGTTCTAGGCCAGCACTTGGGCTGCATAGAGACACTCTGTTTCAAAAGGAGCCCAGACCTGAGGGCAGGGAGCTTCCAGGGTCCTGATGGGATGGGGAGGGGCACCTCTGATGCTGCGGGAAACGAGGCAAGTGCACATGTGTGTAGCTGTGCTCAGCAGAGGGGCACAGAGCCTGGTGTAGACCAGGCGGGTCACAATCTGCCAAGGACAGAGCTCTTCTCACTGGAGGGCAGAGCAGCCCACTGGAGCCACGGGGACTGCAGAGGCTGCAAGCTAAGGCAAAGCCTGTGTATTCTGCGAGGCCACTGCACGTGGTCGCTTGTTACTGACCCCAGCTCCCGAGAGCGCTGCATTTCCTTACACAAGATGTGGTCACGTACACTTAGGAAACTCATTACAGTAAAAGACGCATTGCCGTCAGTCCCTCAGATTTCACTCCCAGTCCCTCACTTCGAGCACGCTTGTCCCACAGTCCTCGCCACTTCCTGCAGCAGCTCTGGAGCCCTCCTTCCTGAGGGTCTTCAGCGGAGCTGTCCTGCACGCCCTGCTGTCGTGAACCCGCTGAAAACATCTCCCTGGCATGGTCATCGTGACTTTGGGGAAGAGCCAGAAGTCACACAGTGCCGGGCCTGCTGACGATGGTGGAGGACACAGCATCGTGTTTCTATCGACAGAAACTGGCATAAACATTTTGAGTGGATTTGGGACATTGCGGCAGCCTTCAGAAGATTCTCAGGAGAGATGCCAGAACTGCCGCAGAAGGGGCCAGAGTGGTGGATGTGCGTGTCTGCAGTGAGGGGGAGGATGCTGAGGAGGATTCACAGGGATGTCTTTTACTATAATACATTTTTAAAATGCAAACCTTCACTGTGTAGCTCCATCACACTGTGTATGCATGATCACCAACCCTGTGAAACCCTCCTGCTTCAGGAAAAATAACACAGTGGTCTGGCACATAGTAAGTCATTCAGCTAACACCAAGCCCTCAGAATGGGCTTACCGTGGTGCACCTCTTCTGTGTTCTCCAGTGTGCCAGAGGTGTGTGGGAGGCAGGGGTCCCGGGGTGGGCTCTGTGTGGGAGATCCGGGAAAATGCTGCTGGACGTGGCTTTCGCTGTCACACTGCTAAGAGGAGAACTCAAAGCGCAGGTGTTGGGGGTTCTTGCTGCTTTCACCATGACACTGCGCCCATCACCTCTGCTGGGCTCTGCCTGCCACCCAGCGCCTTCTAGGGCTCTGAGAGGTCACAAAAGGGAGCTATCAGGCAGGGGTGCGGATGCGCCATGGGCTGGAAGTCAGCACAGTGGACCCCAGAACCCACAAAATGTGGAAAAACCGTGAACTTCGGATGTGGCCAGAAACTTGCCTATAACTGCCTATTTTTATAGTTTAAACCCTGAACATGCTATGTCTCCCATAGTTATGTAATTTAAGAAAATACCATATTAATAAAAGTTTACAGGGCCGGGAATAGCTCCTTAGCACAAGCGCCTGCCTGGCAAGTGCAAGTCCTGAGTTCGATTCCCAGTACCAAAAAAAAAAACAAAAAAAACCCCTGAGAAGGTGCAGGGCATTTTGGCAGTGTCGTGGGGATCCTAGAGCTTTGGGAAGAACAAAATGAGACCCCTGGAGACAGCGACACACTGCAGCGACCTGATATGATGCCAGAATGCCGGTGCATCTGCCCAGATGGTGACAGGGGAGCAGCCAATCAGCAGCAAGGAGAACTGAATAACGCTCTCGGATTGGCTACTTGCAAACCGCATATTTGCAGTTTCCAAGGGGTTGCAGAGGTTTCTGAGAACAATCAGCGGTCGGGTTCTGAGGAAGAATTTGTGAACAACTGGGGCCCCAGACTCTGAACCGAGACTTCGTGGCAGTTACTGTACTCAGCCTCCTTCGCCAGGTTCTGGGATGGCAGCTTTCCAAGTCTTCACATTCCAGCCCTGTAATTACTTTTCTAATCTT